CTTTCTATGTTTTGATCGACAATGTTCGTTCAAATATTTTCTATAAGTTTCGTTGAAATTGATCTGTTATTTTTGAGATATGTAAGAAAAAACCAATGTGTTAAATACTTTTGCTACTCACTGTATATATATATATATATATATATATATATATATATATATATATATATATCAAATGATGAAATTTTGGGCGTGAAGCTCTAAGCAATACGCCATATAAAATCTGTGTAAATTCTTGACTGGTCCGAGGACTTTTCATCTCTATCTTTTTATACACACAAACAAACAAACACACAGACCCCCCACACACACACATATATATATATGTATATATGTATGTATATATGTATGCGCGCGTGTGTGTCTGTGTGTGTGCAGTCTGGTTTTAATAATCCATACTGAGATGCTTGAAAACATCGTTTTCTCGTTTAGGCTTCATAATCTCAATAGCAGACATAGTTGTGTGAAATTATTCATTGTTCTCGCAGCCAAACACATGAATCAGTGTTCAGTATAGACCCTTACACAGGTACACTACCAATTACAGGACAAACACACAATGACACTGATACCTTAACAGGCGCCCGCTTTTCTTTCTAACTGACAATAGAGAAAAGTGGGGAGGTTACTCCAAGTATAATAATTCCAATTTCAAGCATGTTTCCCTGCAAATAGAAAATCTTTTATTTTCTTGTCCATTTTCGCCATCATTTTCTCCCTTCGACATCTCCGTCGCCCCCATTTATATAAAATTGTCGATCCGATGGAACTGGCTTTTTCAAATGCAAGCGGCAGCAGTCGCATTGTCAGAAATGGCTGCATTTAACGACTCAAAGAATAATTCTTCCCGACGTGCGAATAGTTTTTGGACACTTCCTTTGTTTCTGCCATTTCTCTCCAAGTAAGGTTGTGGTCAGATAGGCAAGTTTATTGCTAAAAATATGTAACCAGATAAAAGATATAACAAAATACAATAAACGGGAAACAAATAAAATTGAATAAAAAACAAAGTTAGGAAAATTAAAACCGGATTTTTAGAGCTAAATATTCCGCTTGTCATAACTTAGCTAATATCTGTTTTAGAATTCTAAATATATTTTTATCCTGCCAATGACAACCTGCAAGGCAAAAGTATGCTTATTCCCTTGTAATTACTGAAATGATATTCACTTTAAAGATTTTATTTGGTTGTTATAGCAATTGCTATTTATCAAAATTATACACGTTTATTTAATTCTGGGAAATTTATTGTGGTTCATATTGTGCTTTTAAGTAATTTTAATATTTTTAAATAGACTCTGTAATCGCAAATGGAATTTGATACATAGAACCCAACTCGGTTGGAACTTATCTTCGATAACTAAACCACCATCAACTATTATGTGTTGTTTTTTTTTCCTTTTTATTAGTGATGTTGTACAATAACATGGCATACTGAAGACAAGAGAGACAGGAAAACAGAACATAACCCTTGCCTAACTAGTTTGTGTACATGGCTGGCAGAACAAGGATTAGGAGAGATAACAGAAAGACAAATTTTACTAAGAGCTACAAAGAACAAGAAATTGGTGAGAGCCATAATCGCACATATCCTGAAAGGACAAAACACGTAGAAGAAGAAGAAGAAGAAGAAGAAGAAGAAGAAGGATGACGGCAAGAAGAAGAAGAAGGATGACGACAAGAAGAATAAGAAGGAAGAAGAAGAAGAACAAGATGAAGGAGAAGGAGGAAGAGAAGAAGGAGGAGGAGGAAGAGAAGAAGAAGGAGGAAGAGGAAGAGAAGAAGAAAATGAAGGAGGCGAAGGAAGACGAAGAGAAGAAGAAAGAGGAGGAAGAGAAAAAGAAGGAGGAGGAAGAGTAGACGAAAAAGGATGAGAAAGAGGAGGAAGAGAAGGAGGAAGAGGAGGAGAAGAAGAATTTTTTGATTATATTTTTCTACAGTAATATATAGATCGGATTTATCCCATCGATAATGAAGAACGCCGTTTACTAACAGGCGTACATTTGACATATTACAACAAAAAGAAAATAATAAATTCAGACCAATATAAATACTGCTTAAAAATTACTATTATTTTACTATATGCTTTTTCCCCTCATCACATAGGTAAACATGGATCTCCACAGCTTCCTTAGCAATGATTTTCTTCTTAATATCCCTCTTCTACCATTTTTTGACAAACCGCATTAGGTAGGTTACTCGATATTTTTCTTTTGACCCACTTGTCTTTAACTTGCCCTTTGGGTATCAGATTTTCAAAGCCCCCTTTCCTTATTATGTGACCTAGGATTGTCAACTGTCGTTTTCTTATTCTAAGAATAAGCGTCCATTTTTGTTTCCATTTTCTCTATGACTTCGTCATTGCTCACATATTTAGTCTTTGGTATTTTCAGCATCCTTCTATAGAACCACATCTCTGTTACCTCAAGACGCCACTTGATCTCTTAGGCCCGCATTCGCTACCGTAGAGAATGAATGACATTACACAGCAGATTAGTAGTCATGTTTTTGTTCTAACGATTTTTCCAGTTACTTAATATTTTGCCTCTCAGCTATAGGTAAAATATCAGGATAGGCTAGGCCTTATAGCCTTGATTGACAGCCAGTCTAGGAGAAGGAAATTTAATTCAAATCACCTGCTGTCCTCTAATAAGTTCTGCCTCTTTAGGTAAAGGCTAGAAGGAGGTACCTTTAAAAAAAACAAATCCATCTCTGAGAGGAAGGACCGAGTAACCTCAACATCTCAGGTACAAATGGAACCGGCAAATCATTAAACTATTTTGCATTGTTACCATGAACCACATTTGTGAGTCAGTCGGAGAGCTGTGACCACAGCGGTGCAAAATTGAATAAAATGAATGAATATTTTGTCTAAATCTTAGAAGGCATCTTTTTTTTTTTTATTCCAATAAACGTTTGAATTTGGGAGTCGAATTTTCCATCCTTTGTTAAAAAAAAACTTTCCGAATATTTCTGTACTTGTTTCATGTTGCAATCGTAGCCCACATCTTGAGCTGTTTCGCTTTCTAACAACTTTACATTTAGGTTACCCCACCCTGGAAAAAAAACAGTGAAAAAATGGATCTAAGTTGATGGGATGTATTGTTTTTTGTCTAATAATTTTCAGTTTACCTCCGTGAGTCTTTATTTTTTAACTAAAGAACGAACTAATGGGCTATTTATTTATTTCTGTGTTTGTTCACTCTTTGCTCAAGGTTAGAGTCATTTTCCTAAAATTCTTAAAATCAAAAATAGTAATTATAACTTTTTATCGCATGGTGGCTTACCTAACCATTTCCTTAAGTACCAATATAGCGGAAAACCTATTAAAGTGTTGATAATTTTTTCATGTCAACGGCCAACTAACTATAAAATACTCATTTTCCAGTATACTTAAATTTCCCTTTTCCACCGCCACGACTTGGTGTGTTTTATAAATATTTTCATGGTATCTGTCTATATCTCTGAGATGAGGTATTATGATTAAATACATTATTTACTTTATTCGGACAGTTACCCTCCTCTTCATTGCCATATTCACAACGTTTCCGCCTCTATATCTCTGAGATGAAGTATTATGATTACTTACATTATTTACATTATTCGGACTGTTATATTCATCTTCATTGCCATATTCACGACGTTTCGGCTGTTTATAAACTTGAATAGATGAGTTACAGGGAAATATCTGATACATCCGGAAGAAGCGTGGGACGTGGAACTAGAACAATTTACGAAATGAAGGGTTCAAGTCGAAATTCCAATCCCCCGAAGAAGGCCAAAGCGTACAACGGCCGAAATGTTGTGAATATGGCAATAAAGATAAGGATAACCACCCGCGCATCCAAGCTCATACCATCTGGTATTTGGTACTGACCAGCCTTGACGTTGCTTAACTTTGGTGATCATAGGAGAATCTGTGATTCAATTAGATATCGCCATAAACCCTTCCTATCTTACAGCACCTGGTATTCACAAGTCACCCATATTGACATTGACCAGATTTGATGTTGCTTAACTTTACTGACTGTACGAGAACCAGTGTTTCAACGTGATATGGCCATGCGCCTTGTTATAAAACCAGTGTCTTGTCTACTGGTTCACTCGGTCGGCAGATTAATTCTTTTGGAAAATTGACGGAATACAATCTTCACCTTTGATTTCCCTTGATTCGTCTCTCTTATCTAACCTAAGTGTAATTTCGGGAAGAGATGAACTGTCATCAAAAGTATATTCATCGCATTTTATGGCAACGTCTGACAAGGGAAATATTGGAGATATTTGTTCAAACTACCACTGGGCCAAAACACTGCAGTAGTTTTTGCCAACCATCTAAGAACTGCCATTATTATTCCATCATTTAAATCCCTCGACATATTCCCAGTCTCCATATCGATAAGAGAGGGTGTAAAAGAGAGAAAAGCAAAAGATATATAGAGAGAGAGAGCGACTGAGAGGGAGAGAGAGAGGGATAGAGTAAAAGATAGCGAACAAGAGTGAGTGCCTGGAAATTGTCTAAAGAAAATGTCCATAATATCGAATGTATGCATATCAGGGCGGCTGTATGAGTAAAATATAACAAGCGACCAAGTTCCTGGATAGAGTCCGAATTTACTTTCGTCCATGACTTTTAAATTTAAGAACGGAAGAAGCCTATTCAGGTTTGTCACGCGACTGTGAATGGAAGGGACGGATTTTATCGGCTGCCCAGGAAAGTGTCACATTTAATCACTTCACATGGCTTAACTCTCGTGTGTCAGATAGATTTTTTTCTCTTTCTCGCTCTCGCGATAACGAGAAGGGGAACAAGAACGAGAGCAACACGGCAATATAATGTTAGCGAGAAGTAAAAAAAGGGAGACTAAGAAAAGTGTGCGATTATTTTATGGGGTAAAATGATTAAACAAGTGAAAGAAAAAATGGAGAAAAGCATTTATGTTGGCGGGAGCAGTTTTAACAGAAGTGCTTTAAAAATATTGAAGAGATTTCCAATCAAAAAATTAACAAGAAGATATTACTGTGTGTGGATTTCTATGGTAGGTGTCGAAGTGAGTAAGAGAAAGAGGAGAGAGAAGAAGAAAATAATAAATTGTAATAAGGAGAAATATGACAGCAGTGTGAGATGAGGAAAAAGAAAGAAAACACGTTTTAGTGGGTGGTAGGAAGGAAAAAAAAAGAAAATCAACATAAAAATATGTTGTCGTAATAAGGAAATAAATACATAATGACTGAAAAAAAAGCGTGAGAAAAAAAAGAAAGGTCGAGAAGGTGTGAAAAATAAAAAAGAAAAAGAAGTGTAAAAGAATGAAAAAAAAAAAATTCAAAACAAACTGAATGAATGCAATTGAACAAGGAAACAAAGATGACTCGAAAGACAGAAAAACGCAATAATGAGAGGAGGGACGAAAAGGCATTTCAACGATAAAATAAAGAAAAAAATGAAAAGAGAATGGAGACAAGGGAGAAAGAAAGAAGACAAGTGATTGAGAAAGAACACAGAAAAGAAAAAAAGAAAATAAAAGAGAAAAAGAAAGAATAAGAGAAGAAAAAAAAAACAAGTAGAAAATTGTCATTTTTAACGATTACCTAAATACAGAAAGAAAAAGAAAGAGTGATATTATACTCAGGAGTAAAAGGATAGGGAAAGAAAACAGAGAGAAAGAAAAAGGGAAATAATAAGAGTAATAAGAAGAAAGAGGAAGAAAACTAAAGAAAAAGAATGAAAGAAAGAATAAAGGAGAAAAAAAAATGCATTCAGCCGTGAAATGAATAAAGTGGAGTGAGGACAAAATAAGACCCAGGAAGATAGATGAAAAATGAAAGGAAAACTACAAATATACAAGACTACAATTACACAAATGATCAAAAGTAAATATACTTAAAAAGTGATTTAAAGATAAGATCCATATATATATATATATATATATATATATATATATATATATATATATATATATATATATATATATAAAGAGACGGAACAGTCAGATTAATAATCGACAGCTCTTTTAGCATTTGTTTTTGAAAAATAGTGATCGATACAAAATAGAGCATAGTATTAATTATACAATTTATATTTTAAAATATTTTTTCAGCACGATACGGAAATTTCTGTTTCGGAACCTTAACTTTGTTCCATTATCAAGCGATATTCAGTAATTTTGAAGGAAATGATTAAATTTTTTAGTTTTTGAAGCGGAGTGGTATTATATTTTTAAATTATCTCCCCCCCTCCTTCAATATACCTTCTCGATGAATATATATATATATATATAAAGTTACTGGTCAGATTTGAATTAAAAAGTAGTATTAAAAATACATCAACCGATGTCGCTACCTTGGTTTCAACATTTCGATAGCTTCAGGCGACCCAGGTTAAATAATTTCCGAACTCTTTATTATTTAAAATTAAATAAATAAATGCACAACGCGAATCGTAATAGAAGAGGAGGAGAAAAGTAAAAGTATTGAGGAGGGGAAAAGCTTAATAGAAGGGGAGGAGACAAGCAAGATTATTGAGGAGGAGGAGAAAAGCTTCGTAGAAGAGAAGGAGACAAGCAAGTGTATTCTAGCAGAGAAAAGCGTAATAGAAGGGGAGTAGAAAAGAAAGTTTATTGGAGAGAACAGCAAGGGTATTGAAATTGAGGTGGTTTGTATAAAATGTTTTCATCCTGGTTCAAAGAAACACAGAAGGTATATTTTTGTATGTAAGAATCGTGCCATTATTTCTGATCTCTCATTCAAAAGGTTTTTCTTGACTGGAAATGTTATTATTGTTAACTTGATTAAAGATTGTAGATATTACTATGATTGCTGTAAGTTTTAGCTTTTTATTGTTATTTCCCAGTTTCCAATCGGATCTTCGTTGCTTTTTTCTTTTAATTTTCGTACATGGCTGACTATTCTGGTAGAACCACGATGAAAAACACGTTCATTTCATACAACCCACCTCCGATACATTTTCAATAGCCTTGCTTTTCTTGCATCATTCTATTACGTTTCGCGTTGTGTGTTTATTTATTTATTAAAATAATAATGCCTTAGGAAATTATTTAGCCCCAATCGCCTAAAGATACCGAAATGTTCAAGCCAAGGTAGCGTGATCGGCTGATCCCATAATTTTCCATATATATATATATATATATATATATGTTGGACTATCCCATTGATTTTTACGTATACGGAGCCGACAATTTAATTCAGTTTTTATTATGTTTGTCTCGTATGTGACACTACAGTCAGACTAGTGACCTGAATACAAGTCCACATATTGTGCAACTTCGAAGATCTCCTTACATAGCAAAAGGAATATTTGCTAATTTTGCCGTTGTCTTTCGTCAATTAACCCGTCAATACGACTGATTTCAAATTTTCTGAGAGTACTCTGGCACAAATATATTCAGTTATCTATATCCAGGTTAACTCTTTTGAAGTTAATATGAGGTACATTGTCAGCTGAGAAGAGACACTTTTGCTTGTCTTTATACCAGAGCCACGGACGTCCAGATGTTCGTCTTTTGTTTGTCAAGCTGGCTATATATATACATACATACATATATATATATATATATATATATATATATATATATATATATATATATATATATATATATATATATATATATATATATATATAAATTCATAAAATATTCATATATATATATATATATATATATATATATATATATATATATATATATATATAATATTTTTATGAATTAAAATCTATTTTACTGAATACCCGTATTTGAATAAATGGTCAGTATATTTACTCATTTTTATCTACGAACTTGAATATTCAAGAAATCATATTAAAAAAAACTTGCAGTCACCGGCAGGATTCGAATCTGACGTGCTTAACTCTCGGCTACAAACAATCTACGTCAAGTACATGTTTATCAGTATTATTCGACTATCGCCTTGTTATAGGTTCTCCGTAGAAATAAAGTATATATATATATATATATATATATATATATATATATATATATATATATATATATATATATATATATATATATATATCGTTTCATTGAATATGACAGACAAGGTTTTCTTTTCCGAGAATAAATTATATAAAAACTGCTCAATTTTTCTTTCTTTCCGAGAGCTTTCGGCTATACATTTAGCCATTTTCAAGGTTGAAATACATTAACTGTTAAGAAGAAATGGATTGTTGCATTTATGTTTTATATAATGTTTCATTTTCAAAACATGGTCAAGATATTGTGTCCATGTTCGTAGTTGATATTAGTGAGTGTTGTTTTTTTTTGTTTTTTTTTTACTAATATGGCTGCCATTATTTTTATTCTTTTTTTTACTTGTAAACGATGCTATTATATATGTGTTATCAACAAGTATGTTGCGAATAGGGTCCGGTAGGTCTCCATGAATATCTAAATGAGATCTAACTGAGCTATGGTTAGAAAGATGTAGTGTGTTCTTCGTGTCAAACATGTCGTAGTATAACCTATATAATTGTTTACGAATTTGAAAGAAGGATTGCTGCCTAAATACACAAATACATATATATATATATATATATATATATATCTGTGTGTGCGTGTGTGTGTGTGTGTGTGTGTGTGCGTGTGTGTTTGTGTGTGTGAGAGAGAGAGAGATAAAAAAATATATGTTTTTATATATCAAGAACACTATTAGAGAAATTGTATGACGAATTGGAAAATGTTTACTTGTGACACGTTTCGGCCTTCAGGACTTCATCAGACTCAATTTGTTATGTTAGTAGGACTAAACATGCACAGGAACTAATCTAGTCGAATTAATTTGGAGTCTTTTTCTTTTTTCTTTCCATCATTTTGTTAGGGGGTCACCTACACTGTAATATTAGAAGATCTGCCAGGAACTGTGAAATGTTGTCCATGGCGAAAATTTACGGTGTATAACCCTTCGATCAATGCACTCCCTAGACATTTAGAAATCGATTATTTCCACTATCGACGGGAGTAGAGAAATGCAAAGTTGGTCTTGGCCTTCCCGCTAAATTGGAGCATGTGCATGTACATTTTGGTGCAAATCCGTCGAAAATTGCGGCCGTGCATTCGTTACACACATACACACACACATTCTGCCATTTATAGATCGAGATACTCTACTTATATATCCTCATGATACTGATTTAACTGACGTATTAGATCAATTAAACAAAGTCTAACACAATAACATTTACATACGATATGGAAGAACGCAATTCATTACTCTGCCTAGATATCAAGCTACGCCGCGTTAAAAACAGTTTAAATCTCGGTGTCCACCCGAAATAAACCAACAAAAACGACCTAATAAATTTCTGTTCTTTTCAAAACAATAAAATAAGCATCGCATTCTGCTTAAGAGTAATCCGAATATGCAGCCCGCATTATGTACACCAAGTGGAGAAATACATTGAAAATGCTTTCAAAATTATACAGTACCCGAATTATTTTATATACAATGCGAAACAAAATGCCCATAAAATATTCCAAAACAAAAATTCCTCTCCTGACAAATCCAATGAGTCAAAAAGTATATTATCATACCAACTAACTCTATCATATCTACAATCGAAAAGAATCTGTCTAAACTGAACATAAAATTTCTTAGTGCTGAGATAAAAAAAAAAAAACAACTATAATCAAATGGGATAAAACTCGTGATATTCGTGTCTTTCGAAAATAATTGCGTAGTTCATCTCCATGACTTATGATAAATAGTAATCATAATGATAATATTAACCGTCTCCTTATAAGGAAACATCTGACATTCGGTGACCGAACAGCCAAGGCTACTGTCGTTTGAAATTTATAAAATCTTTCTCTTAAAACAATTTTTCAAGAAAATAATTTCTGAAGTACAGCTCTGATGGAAGTTTCCTTCCTTGACTTTTTTTTTCTTATAGTGTGAAAAATTAACATATTGATTACGTTATTTTCTCTTCGATTTACATATTCTATCCATTTTAGTTGTTGCCGCTACTGAAAGAATTCATATGATTCAATCAAGGCAGAATTTTTTTTGAACTCTAGGAATCTGCATCTAGAATTAGTTTCTCGTATCTTCTCTCCGGCGGTGTTTTATTTGTATTGCATTTCCGAGTTTAATTGAGAAAACTAGTAAAACATGCAAAAGCGATTCCTTCTCCAAGCTGACACGGGACGTTCTTGCAAGGTGGTAGATATGTTGTATTATTACTTGTCGGGAGTATGTTTTATTGTGACGGACTTACTGTAAGATGGCAATCAACTATTATCCTGACATCGAACCGGCCCAATGTTGTCTCAACGTTATAATAATTTTGAAATCGACAATGTTCGGTTAAATATTTCCTATAAGTTTCGTTGAAATTGATCTGTTATTGTTTGAGATATATAAGAAAAACCAATGTGTTAAATACTGTTGCTACACACTGTATATTTCACTTATTGTAAAAATAATCCCATATGTTTGTTAAAACATGATTTGACATTTAATATGGAACATGCAACCGTAGGTTCTTGGCCACTCTGTACATGACGTTGCAGAAGACGTCTTCCAAAAAATGTCTCCTGTAACTTTTACATGTGGCAAATATAAT